ATTGTGCTGGCTCATCTGTTTTTATGGCTGAATGTGAACCAGGTCCAGAAATTCAGCTAAAATGTAAATATTATCGTGGTCTGCTTCTCAGCAGAATTAGCTCTCTGCATGGATACAATATGCATCTTCACAATAACTATGCCAGGAAAGAAGTGGGGAAGAAACAGAAGGGAACTTCAGTAAAAAGGTGTCTTTATTTTTTTTTTTTAATTTTTACAAAGATTCTTAAAAGGAAGGAAGCAAGGATGAGCAGGTAGCAAGTCACCCAATGGGTTACACTTTCCTGCAAGGTGCCATTGAAGGGCTTCTGTTCATTCTCAGTAAGATGAATTCTCAGCTTAAACATCTGGTTGTAACTGGTCTTTGTGTTGTCCTCCCATATTTTTCTTATTTTTTCATAGCAAACAAAACAAAGTGTTGAAGAAGCTCTTTCACACTCTCACATTTGGCTTTCAAAAGGAATAAATTGGCCTCTAAATGCTTTGTAATTGTGGTGCTCTTCCACAGGTCAGTGACCTCGGAGAGCAAATCAGAGTGCTAAAATTATTATTTCACTGCTCGCACTTAGTACCTCCTTAAATTCTGTGCTTGAGTTTAGACATCCTCTCAAAGACAGACATTCTAGGTCCCAGTGGTAACAGATGTACATGGAGAGTTGGCAAAAGATTGCTTGTAAGGCTCTTATTTTTTCAGTGTTATAAAAAATTGTTTTGTCCCGGAGGCTCAGTCAGACACTTTATAAGGCTTCTGAATCTCACTCCTCCATTTCCTTCCCAAGGAAACTTCCTTTCTTCGAGTAATTGTTTTGTCTTTAAGAACTTGTTTGCTTATAATCTTCCAAAGTGTCTTGGAATCAGAGAAACCCTCTCAAGAATACTGTGTTCTCAAAATGCACTCAGTGCTGTGGAGGAATATTGTTCAAAAAGACTTCATAATCTTCATAGTAAAATAAAGAAGGCACTAAAAATTACTGGAAGGTACCTAAGTCTCTGTCAGTGCCAGATTACAGCAAAGTTTGATGAAATGTAGTTCTCCATCTACCTGTTTACACATGCACTACATGCTTAAGATGGGAATCACTGTAAAGATTGTAACTGCATGGCAAATAGTGAGTTGAGAACTCAAGTTCAGAATTTAGCCCTGTTGCTGGGAGGAGGAGGTGTTTGTGATTAATATATTGCACCACCATAAAGATACTTCAAAATATACAAACACTTTTCTTGAGGAAAAAACAATAACTTTCTGGAAGGCAGTACTTAAAGAAGAGGATCATTTCAGTGTTGTTCGAGTAATTCTTGTTTAGCCTGAGAGAAAAACTAAGTGAGGGGTGTTGTGCTATTTCTCAAAATGGCCATTTTCCTCATTTAATTTTTTCAGAATTGCTTAAATTATTTTTACAGACATCTTGAGCATGTGAGTTTTGCAGAGATTTCAGTGAAATCTGAGTGTTACTTGTAGTCTGAGCATATCTACTAGACCACAGTCTTCACTGGGGCTTAAACACATCCTTGATCCTTTATGAGTCTTGACTGAGTTTAGCCAGGAGCTAGTGTCTAGATTCTCAAACCACAGTACTGCTGAGCATCAGCCAGACAACTGTCTTAACAGCTATGCTTGCAGTGCTGTAGTCCACTTCATCCACAGTGTTTTTCCTGCTTTTCAGTTTGGCCACTTTACTCCCACCTTCTACTCCAAGTGACTTTCAAGTTTGTTAATTGCATACAGTGCTTAAAAGCCACCTGTTTGTCTTTTTGGTGAAACTACTGTTATACAGTACTTTCTACATGCAACTTTTGTATCCTTTGTTCTATCCTAATCCTCACCTTTTTACTTGGCTTCTTTCACAGATAGCATTCCTTTTTCCCTTCTGCTTGAATCCTTATTCTCAAACATTATTTCCTTAAGCCCTTATTAAAAAGATAACCATCTATCTTCCACCCCAAGAACTGAACACAAAGAGGGATGCAGGGTTGTCTTTTTAAATAATGTTCTTTTTCAGAGTGTACTCTATTGTTCCTCTTTGTTGACCTTCTGTCTTTTCTCCCTTTCTCCTTCTTTTACTGTATTTTAAATCTTTTTGGATCAAGTGTGTAACTAAGTGCTTACCAGCAGGATTTCAAGTTGTTTGTCAGGTGCCAAGCTGATCATTTTTTCAGATTTCCTCTTGTGTCGCAGTAAGATCTGTTTCTGCTGATTTTGATGCATTAGCAGTTGGTAGTCAGCAAAATGTCTTGCCAACTGTGTTGGCATGATTGAACCACACTACTAAATGTAAAACTCAGTGGTTAAAATTGAATATATTAACCTTTGACCCTTTGATCTCACTCTGATCTTTAAATATGAAGGCACATACTGTTGTCTTTAGTTCCATTGTACCTGGATCCACCATTAAGGAAAATTTTCTGGAAACAATTCAGAATAAAGTAAATGCTAGCGCCTTGCTAAGTAGTAGGATATCCACTTCTGTTTTCTAAAAGAATGCAAAGTCAATCCTGCAACTTTTACTTGATGTGGAAAATGAATACTTCGGCAAACCGTCCTTTAGACTGAATTTCTTTTTCCCAAACAATTTAAACATATATTAAAAAATGTGTCTGTTTTTTCATGTCTTAGACATGTATGTAGATTTTTTTTTTAGGCCAGAAGCAGTTACAGAGGTGTATATGTATCAGATACACTTCATAATAATATGTGAAAGGAGCATATGTTAATTCCTAGATCTGAAAATCATTATCTGAATAAATCATCATATACTGTACTCAGGGCTCCTCAAGTTCCTTAACATACTTCCCTAATTAAGCTGTTCATTTCCTACATTTAAATTACTGTCCCCAGCTGTTGTGCATTAGCAGATCCCCACTGCTAGTCTAAAAAAATGGCTGAAATTGGTTTTTAAATTTGGAATTTGGTCTGAGTTTAATTTAGCCAGTGTTTACTACTATAACCTCTTCTTCTCAGAAAACAGAGGCTTAGACAGTGAAGTAATAATACTTAACAGATACAGTGACTCTCAGGTAGCTGGAAGAAAACTGAATCTGAGGAATTAAAAAAAATATCTTCTTGACAGAACACAAAAATAACAATATTATGCCAGATAAATAAGATAGAGATTAATATAACACTCTGAATATGTGATGATATGGCTAAGTGTATTTTTAAATAAGTATTTAACTGTATTGAAAAGCATACTTAAAATATGGTACATGTGTTAAAGGCTGAGTTTTCTATAACCTGCCAAGGTCCAGAAAAGTATAAAATACTGTGTACTTTGCTGCCAGAGAATTACATCACTGAATCAGTCATGGGCTGAGCTTAAGTAAACTTGAGTTTTAATCCATTCTTAGCAGTAGTAGCAAACTTTTTATAGATGCACAGAGATACTTTCTTCATTTCAGCTTATTCAGCTGTCTCAGTTGAGTAACTTATTAAGAGCTAAGAAAACATTTTGGATTTCAGAACACAATATTCCTGTCTAAATAAAAGAATAGCTATGAGTTAAGATATTTTACTTCCAAAATCTTGAAGCATAAACACAAAACCAAGTTTAGCTCCTTGCTACTGATTATTTTCTCAAAACAATTTAAATAAAATAAAGTTAAATAATAAAATCATGTTAGGTAAAATTAAAAAAAAATAAATGACCAATTATTTAAGTGCATAACCTATTTTTAATTAAATAATACTAAAATAAACAATCGGAAAGCTTCATGCACAGTCATTACATTTCAGTTTACATCCAAATAAAAATGCATATAAATTGTAAATAAAACTGGATATTCAGAGTTCCCTTAATTCTTTTAGGATTAAAAATGGTGCATTTCTTAGCTGAATAAAAAATCTGTTAAATCTTTTCACACCTTTATCATCACACTAATTAATATGAGTGATGTATTGTCCTGTTCAGCAAAACCCACCAACTTTGGTTAAAGGATGGTATTTATCTTAACAATACAGGTTGGTATTTTGATTTAACAATACCAACCAATGAAAATGGGCCTTTCCTTAAAATGTAGGATGCAGCTACTGTTAAAATGTAGGATTCAAGCAAGTGGAAAACCTTGATTTAAACTAGGATTAAAATCTGTGGTGGTCTTAGTTGTTTGGTTGGTTGGCTTTTTTCAGTTCCGATGAGTTCATTCTGCTGCTCCAAGTTTTACTCTTGGTAAAGTTTTACTCTTGGTAAGTTTTACTCTTGCTGCCTCCAAGTTTTACTCTTGGTAAAGCACCTATCTGGCACAACAGGGAAGGGTATATCCAGAAAGAACTGAACAAACTGAATCATAAAGGATTTGGTCTCAAAATGTAATGAAAGAGAGAAACTAAACTGGACCCTGTATTTATAGAATCTGCAGATATGATTGAAGAGAAAGAGTGAAAAGACTTTTGAACTGAGCTGGACAAAGCAACTCTCACTAAATTGATCTGATTCATTTCCATTTCGTGCGTGTTTCCAGGGAAGTTAAAAAGAGTGGGAGAGAAGGTGGGAACAAATTTGAGATAAAGTAAATTTGATTAGTGGCTAGATGAAGAGAGGGATAGAGTGGGAAAAGTAAATTTTAAAAGCAGGTTGAGCAAGTGCTAGCTGAACTTTGTTCCAGCCCATTTGTAGCACATGAAACATTCTTTTATTTTCTCTTTTAAATTTGGATTTCTGTTTGGTGTAGCTTAGTTTATTTCTCATCCCCCCATGCAGCTGTTAAGATTTTTCTGATAACCAACACTAACAAACCCCCACCAAACTCATTCAGCTGATTTGAGAAAGCAAATGTGGAGTTAACTGCCCATCAAAGTGTAGGATGACTCATGAGTCAGGAGACTCCTGGTTTGAAAAGGTCCTCAATTACTGGGGGCTGGACCAGTGTATTCAAACAACAGGAGATGCAGATAAACAGCTTTAAGGTGCGGTTTTCCATTGTAGCTTTTAAGCTGAGCTGAGGGGGGATTCTGTGCTTTTTCTGTCGACCTATCCCAAACTACAGTTTCCTGCCTTAGATGAGCGTTGCTGAGGAGCTGATCTATTGGTGAGGCAATTCGGAAAGCTGGTGAGTTTTATACTGGGTGAGGGTACAGGGGGTAAGAAGTTCTTCAATCCTCTTCCTCTGAGATTAGATGAACTCCACTGCTATTCCTAATGGAAGGGTCTAGGACATCCTGGGAGTAGAAAAAGTGGGTCCGTGGCAGAGATACTTTAGTTGTTGTCGTGAAACTTCCCTCATAGGAAAGCGGAGAAATGGCTAGGTGCTGTGATGAAATGACCTTTCTAAGGCTTTGGCTTTATTTGCTGAATGGGTAGGAACATTGTAGTACTTAATAACTTTGTTAGTCTTCAATAGGCTTAGTTATTAGGCAGTTCGTCGTGGGGAGGAGGAAAGGAAAGGAGAAGAGGGAAGATGAAAACAGGCTGTAAGACATAATATGTGTGACAGTGGGACAAAATGTTCCATTACCCACAAGAAGTCTGGACATTTTGGGATCTGCACGAGAACGGTTGTGATTGTCACGGACTGGTGCCATTTCTTTTTGCATTAGTTGCGTTTGTTAAATCACATCAAGCAGAAGCAAGAGCTTGCAATTCTAGGGAAGAGCTGTGTTCAGTGGAAACTATCTGATGCCTGCAAAGATCATCAAAGCCAACAACAAGGTCTCTGAGCAGGACCTACCTATCCTCTTTGAAGCAGACCATTCTCTGTTTTGGTTTCATCATCTAGTTACTGTCAAAGTCCTTTGTTTCAAAATAATTCATAAAGCCTTTCTGATACCTGTTTGCTAATAGAGAACAAAAAAGAATAAAAGGAAAAATAACCCAGTTATTCCATGGAATTACTAGCTTTCAATTGATTAAAGTAACTAAACTGATTTTTCAGGAGCTGCAATATCCCTATAATTGATATAAGGGATGGAGAAGAGTAATACTGAAATTATGACTGCCTGTTCCTGTAATAATTTATAATTTGCCTGCAACATAACACCTGACCTGTAAGCATCTGTAGACCTTCATTCTGCTCCATCAGACCACGGCTAAAATTAATGTTATGTTGGGATAAGTTAGCACTGGTGCCACAAAGAGCAGAAAAGTTATTTTCCTGTGCCTGGCTGCTCCTTCCTGCTCCTCTGCATTGCGAAGCTTTTGAGCAAAAATGGCACAACATGATACTGGAAACCCATTTACATTGAAAATATTTTTTTTTCTTGATTGGGAGATTTTAAAGATGGATCCGTTTCCCAGACTGGTTCATGGTGCAGCTAATGCTGGGGGGAGGGTCCGAAGATCAGGAACTGCTTATATGGGCACTAGCGCCCATACAAAAAGAAACGCATCATCGAGTTACACACCACTGTCTCAATTATGCTGGTATTTTTAATGTATTCTTATGGAAACGGTGGGGGGGGCGTTGGCATGTCTTATTTTAATTTAGGAGGCAAGGCTTTTGTGTTACCACACATCTCCGGCATTGGTATCCTAGCTATGCGATTGCCTGAATATTGCCTTGCTGTAGGGTATGGTTGAATTCCTTTGAGGATGTTAAATCCAGAGACTGTAGCAAGCTGTGTATGTATGCAACATCTCACTTTTGGTGTCTGGGCAATCTGAATCTTACCTGTGTGGTGGCCTTCTGCTCTGAAAGTGTTAGATGTTTTCAAGTGTCCTCTGCTTTGCTCTCTTGGCAGCTAATTAACCTTCAAACACCAGGATGCTCACTGAAAGCATTTCTGTGAAGAGCTAGCTAGAACTTAAAATTTCCAACACCGAGAAATTCTGACAAACAGGATTTGTTTGCATTTGAAGGGAACAACAGGGGACGGTGAGGCTTTTTCTTGGTGGAAGTCAAATGAATTTTTTGACAGTAGAGATTCGTGTCTTGGGAATGTTGAAGTTGAGCTGAATTTTGATAGTTCAACCTGTATTTCACTGCTGTGGCATACTGTCTTTAGGGTGTTGTCATTTAGGAACCTCAATATATTATTTACCCAAATGTAACAGGGTCCTTGGCCAAGTTATTTGTCCCAGAATGCACCGAGAGTTATGTCTCTTGTGTTTCCTGCACAGGATGGTAGGAGGCATGTCTGCATAATGTGAGGAATTGCATCATCTTCTGAAGAAGGTCTTGTGATCCTCTGAAAAGGGTGAGGGCATTAGGAGCTTAGAGGCCATCATGCCAACTTTTTAAGGAGAAGCAAGTTAAATATGTTTTGAATTACACTAAATAGGGTGCATTGAGTTGCTTTAAATATCATGTTCAGATGTTCCAACTCATATCAGACAAAGAAGGAAAAAGTGGTTTATGATTTTGTTGATTGGAGAAAAGAAAACTTTGAAAAGAGTTGAAATTCTCCATGGAAACATTGATTTAATGAAAACTGCCTTACTGATAAGAAAATACTTAATTTGAAAAATTCCTGGCAACGTTTAAATTTAATAAGTTATTTTTATGTTGCCTATGCTTTCCAAACTGCCTCTGTAACTGACTCCAAAGTGTCACTAGTCTGAATGAAACAGCACATAAGGGCTGTCAGGCACTTGATCTGTTGGTGGCCTTTGCTTTTCCACAAAGCCTTATTAACCTGTTGTCAATGAAGTATTAGTCTTCATATTTCCACTTTAAAATAGTGAGTGAATTCTGGTGTAAGAACTCCGCGGCACTGGGAAGTACAAAAAAAGATTATGCTTTAGATTTATTTGGGGGGAGGTGGCATGAGCTAAAAATAGTTGGAAAAAGGGTAAAACAAAAACAAACTTGGAAGGCCACCAGTCGTCAAAGATCTGTCTAGAGGCTTTGAGAGCTAAAGCCTGTTTCTGCAGAGGATTCAGTTTAGAGTTAACTTACCAATCCTTGCAAATATCAGGAGTCAAAAAAGAAGCCCTTCAGACTACCATCTGTTCTAGGAAGTTGGTTTGTAGAGTTTTTTGGTTTGTAAAATAAAGAAATGGTCAGTGTTAGCTTAATGGTTGGACTAGATGATCTTAAGGTCTTTTCCAACCTAGATGATTCTGTGAAATTCTTCACTGTGAGGGTGGTGAGACACTGGAACAGGTTGCCCAGAGAAGCTGTGGCTGCCCCCTCCCTGGCAGGGTTCAAGGCCAGGTTGGACGGGGCTTTGAGCAACCTGGGCTAGTGGAAGGTGTCCCTGCCCATGGCTGGGGGGCTGGAACTGGATGATCTGTAAGGTCCCTTCCAACCCAAACCTTTCTATGATTGTCTGTCCACACCCACTCATATAAAACATGAGCATTTCCTTCCCATAGACACTTAAATAATTTTAAATACAACCAGTAGAACCTTAATTTTTGCTGTTAGTTTAGGAAAGTCTTGAAGGATTTCTCTTTAATTCTGGATGCTACACCTTCATTCTTCAGAACTGGCTCTAAACTCTTTGATAAAGAGAATCACAGCAATTTAATTTTATATTGTTATTACTGCTGTGCAGTACAAAGAAAGTAAAACCTCTCCCCCAATAATCACCAACAATTAAAACTATTTTCAATTAACATTATTAAAATGACAGTACTGCAAAATATACTTCCATGGTCAGTCATTTTCATCTTATTTCTCCTAATTTTGTATGTCAAACTGAATTTATCTAAATGTGGTTGCAACTTTTAATAGGATTTTTATTTTTTGCACCCCAATTTTTGAGTGAGAACTTACTCCACTTTGTTAGAACAACTTCCCTGACAGTATTTTGAATTCTTCGTTTCCCTCCCTTTTTACATAAATACACATATCTCCCTTCCTCAAAATATATTATATTAATGGTTGCTAGATGCAATGTAAGTATTAGTAAGTCAGGCTAATAATGTGAATGGACTATCCGTCACGGTATCCAAATGTGCTCTTATTAAAAACTGTTGGTCACATCTAAAACTGTAGTAGTAAGCATTCCACTGTAAACATATGTTGCCTTGGAAAAATCCTCTGAGGGAAAAGGAAACACTGGCGAAACTGATATTTTTTTTTTTTTTTTTTTTTTTTTTTTTTTTTTTTTTTTTTGAGGGCGTGGGGGGAATGGTGATGTAGACTGTCAACTGGATGCCTTGGTCTAAACAGGATACTGGCACTTGGAAAGCTGTGAAGGTGTAAGAGAGAACCAGCACAACTTATGCAACAGTGTTTTAGGGTGTAAGGAGGCAGGTTGAAACAGTTTTATCATGGATAATGGCAGAAGAAAGCTTACTCTGTTTCTAATACACACACTACACTCAACAAAAGGATTGTCGCTCTTGTAATGTTAAGATTAAAAAAAGGGAAAATAAATGTGGGCTCTAGCAGAAGTTGGTCTGCAAAAGTGTCTCTCATTTTGTCACTGACTAGTAGGTAGGGAAAAAAGCATCCAGTTATAAGTTAAGGTACTGTTAGCAGGATGTCTTGAAGGTACTGTACATGCAGATGCATACAAAATCCTTTAGAAGAAATAAACCCCTTTTCTCCAGATTTCTTTTTGAAAGTGACACTTGCTGTTTGTGTATAGTGGAAACTGAAATTAAATTTCTCATTCATCAGTATCTTTATCCTTTAGGATTAGAGAAGTCTGTTTCAGTTCCCTTTCTCCTCGCTCCAGTGAGATGTCAGTGTTCTAGAAGTGTCAGGAATAATGATTCTATTCAGGAATTGGCATTTGAATAGCTGGATATAAAAAATTTAAAAAAAAAAATAAATGCTTGACTTTGATGATTTTTCTAGTTTGGAAGCAGTCATGCATTGTTCTGTGTGTTTGTTGGGGTTTTTTGTTTTGTTTTAAACAGAGCTCTGTGAATGAACATTCCAATCTGGCCCTTGAATAATTATTTCTAAATGTGAGATGACAAGTTAAAATGACATTGTGCCTACAGAACAAAAATAATCTTTTACACCCTTCTTGTGTTTATGGGGAGCACTAACATATGTTTCTTGCAAAATTTTGTTTTCTGGATTGGGATGGTTTCATTTCTACTTATCCTCTGTTTCAGCTGCTAGAAAGCAAAACTAAACATGCAGTTTGAGTAAGGAATATGTAGAAGAGACAAAGTATTAACCCTTTGTTTTGACACTACATTGTACTTGAT